TTTTTTTGGAGTAGCAGCTATAACTATAGGCTTAACATGTGTAAAGCTTTAAGGAAAAATTTACCCGTCCAGACCCCACTGGCCTCTGATCACCCCTTTGAGAAGGTCCGGGTCAGCACAGGTGGGAATCCCATTTACTCTGTTATATGAGCACATCACACTGCTGACGTGGCCCTTCTCCACACAGCTTTTGAATGGTGGCTGATACGTGTCCTCTAAATCCTGCTTTGTCACCTATAACACCAAATCCCCAACAACATTACGTATAATTATTCATGGTAATGCAATTATACAGTCATATTTCATCCTTTTCTTTTCTTTTAGTTGGTTAGGGAATTAGAGGATAATTTCAAATTCACAACTACCCCTATGAACTTTATAGACGCAATGACAGACCTAGGTGACAAAATTATGATATTATATGGAAAAATTAATATGATGTTGTTACTCGTTAGTGATGAATGAAAATGTTTTTTTTTTTTTTTTTTTTTTCTCTCTCTATGTCATAAGCACACCACTTTTGTTTGATAAGGTAAAGAATGAGATATATCACAACAAATGTGAGCTACATATATATTTACAATCAATACCAATATAAGACAACTCCAAAGAGATATTATATTGAGTGAGACACTATATTATATATTATAAAAAGCATACTAAATAATTACCTTGGCATCAAAATGAAACCGATCAACACCTTTCCAATTATCAACATCATAAGCGGTGTAGTGTTTGCAACAACTAGAAACCTTAAGCCTATCACCCTGATTACCACCACTACCTTCCTCATTACTCACTTCTTGGAGACCTTTCACATAATTCACTGCATACTTGGACACCACAAGAGGGTCCTCCCCCGGTGTCTCCTGCCCCCGGCCCCACCGGGGGTCGCGAAACACATTGACATTCGGGCTCCAATACGTCAACCCGGCGAGGCCCGCGTTGTACATGGCCCGAGCCTCAGTCGACACGGCCTGCCCCATCTTATACCACAATGACGCATTGAAAGCCGCCGCGGAGAGGATCACTGCGGGGAAACTAGTGGCACCGGGGACGGTGGCGTTGAACGTAGTCCCCGGTCCAACGTTCGAGACCCCGTGAAGGGCCTCGGACCACCACTCGTAGGAAGGCACACCGAGGCGGGAAATGCCCGCGCTTCCTGAGACTAATTGTTGGACTTTCTCTTGGAGAGTGAGGCGTGAAATTATGTCTTTGGCTCGGATGTCGTATGACAAGGAAGTGTCGCAAAATGGAAATTGGGATGCTTGGGGGAAACTTGTCACGTCGCATGCATGTTTTTGAGTGGCAATTGGAAGTATTTGAATTATAAGGAGAGAAAGAAATTGTGGAAAGAGATAAATTTGGTAGTTCTTCATGGGGTAGTGTAATTTTTGGTTGGCTTTTTTTTTGTTTGTGTGTGTGTGTGTGTTTTGGTTTAAGGATTGTACCATTTTGGTGGTAATATTTATAGTGGAAGATTGGACTAAACTGGACTTGAGATCTTCGTTATCTTTTGAGATTGGAAAAGGGTAGTTGCTTGCAGATTCAGGAAGAAAATTGTTTATGTGTTGTTGTAGAGTGTGGAATGATATTACAATGCTTAGCAAAAACAAAAGCTTCTTTTGCTCTTAGTGGTGTGCTAATGCCTAATAATGTGCAACGACCGACAAAACAATCATCTTTCACCATGTAAAAGTACCGGTCCAATTACGTACTCTTTATAAAGAGCAAGACTCAAACCTCAAGAGTAAAAATCAGCATACACAATATTAAGATCATGGTGAGACACACACACACACACAC